TATATATATATATTACATTTTTATTATGTTTTTATGTAATATAATGTATTCTTATATGTATTCTTATATGTATTCTTATATGTATACATATTTTTACATACGAACTATCCAGAAAGTAAATTCCGTTTTTAAATTTTACCGCCGCAATAGTGCGCGATGATGCGCATATGTGAATTTGTTGATTCGCTAGTAAGGGATTGACACGATTTTCAATTATTGATTTGTATTTAGTATATACGTATTGTAGTTTGTAGTTTGCCGTTTCTTAAATGCGAGGAATATTAATACGGCTGAATTTTATCTTCAAAGAAGCTGTTACTACATAGTTTGCCTCACAGACAACAATTTTTCTATGAAAAAGGGATACAATGTTTGATCTATATAGAAAAATAGTGTAAGATGTGCACTTTTAAAAATAATAAAAGTTTTCTGTAAATATTATTAATAAGCCACCGGAACTTACTTTTTGGATAACTCTCATATATACATTTTTTAATTTATGTATCTGTATAAATGTATAACTTACTTGTCCTATTATAAGCTCTCCGGCACCACAATACAGAAATGTATGTGTCAATAAGATAAGAGCAGCAATTGCCATATAACATGCTTGTGCGACATTCGCATTATTTATATTTTGATTAGTAACTACCTGGATAATATATCTCGCTAATTAATAAAAAAAATGGTCATACGTTAGACATATAAATAATAACGTTAGACATAGATTCATGCAAATTATATAAATTAAAATCTGTAAGATTTTAATTAAAACGTTTTCAATATATTTGTTTCACCAAAACTTACACTAACAAGTAAAAATCCGCATAGGCAAAATACGATACCAAAATAAATTACCAATCCAAGCATCATTAACGAAAATGTTTTTTCAATGTTATCAGCAAATCTAGAAGTACAAAACAGAAAATTTAACGAAAATGTTAGTTTAAAGCTAATAAAAGTCTATATTTAAACATAGTTATACATTTAAAGATCAAACATAAATAATTTCGTGCGATTTAATATTGTTTATTAAATTTGTACTTAACCATTTACTAATTAAGAAATGAAGTTAAAAGTTTCTAAAAGTTACGATACTATCTGCAGATGTTACATAATTTAAGTTTATTTATTCCGATTATATTTTAACCTCTCTTCCTTCTTTAATGTACAATATTTGTGTATCTATATATCGTTGTATTTTTATTTGCCATTGAACAAAAGCATATTATAGTTTACATTATCCATCATCTATCCCAAAATCTTTGTCATTTTTTTTCTTTTATTTCAAGCGTGATACGAATTTCTTTGAGCACAGATTTAACTTTAGAAAAAAGAAAGAAATTACGAGTCTAAGGAAGAGTCTATTTTAGAGTAATCTATTTGATATTTCTTGGCCAAAAGTATACAACTTTTCTGCATCTATACATGATTATATTTTTATTTGTCATTGACCAAAAGTACGATGTAACTCATCATTTGTCAACAGCTGATTTAAGATTTCTATCATTTTCTTCTTTATTTTAATAATAGATATAAAACAAATCCCCTTAAAAAAAATTTAACTCTCGAAAAAAGAAAGAAGTTACACGGTATGTCTGACGAATATGGAAGAGTTATATATATAATATATAATA